AAAGGACTTGTGTCGCTAAAGTTTCGTCGGAACGAATTTACGGAAAATTAATTAACATACGGAGACGTAACAATATCATAATTCAGAAGGTTCCTTCCATCATAAATAAAAGAAAATGTGAAGAACATTATTATTTAAAAAATCAGATAATTTACTTAATAAAAGGTGAATTGTTATATACTTATATAAGTTTGTTTGTTTGCAATTAAGCACAATGCTCCACAACGAGTATCGAAACCCGGATTCTAGCGTTATAAGTCCATAGACACGCCGCTGTGCCACTGGGGGACGTATATATAAGAAACTCGAATCCTTTATTTTTTTTACAAGGATATATATACACACACACAAATATATTGTTTGATATACCGATAGAGGACGTTTTTTATTTACATTTCGCACTTCAAAAAGGTTTAGTTTTATAAAATTAATTTCGTTTGATAGTAATCAAAAATTGGGCTTTAGAAAACATAAATGCGTTATATTCAGATTTAGAAACACATTAAGTTAAGTGTAATTCTTTCAAGTTAATTATTTTATGTTGTTGACCGAAGTAAGGTGCTGGTGCTTCTTTTCGACCATCAGTTACAACTTACATTTTTAAGATGCACAACGTACTTAGGACTTATGTGGTGATACTGATAGGCAGGTGTACTAAATTAGTACTTGTAGTACCATTGACTGTAAATTGAAATAAAAAAATTGTTTTAGAATTGGAATTATATTTTCTTTCCAATGGATGAACTTAATTTGAAAAGCACCAGTAAGTATTTCTTTTAACATTTGGTGGTAAACTGAATGAAACTGAAAGTAAGAAAAAGATTGTTTATATAAAATTAAAAACTAGTACTGAGTAGAAGTAGTATAACTATAATATTAATAGTATTCTATCTAATGTTAATAGTTAGTGCTGTCTGTGTCACTATCAGTAGCAAAAATCATCGATTAAATTACAAATTGTGTTGTCTTAGTTAAGAACAACTTGTTGATATAATAAGTTAATTAGTCTAGGATTAACTTGTCACTCTAAAAGTCCAAGTCAAACTTCAAAGTAATGTAGTATTTTCAGGTAAAACTGTACTCCCAACACCAATCAGATAATTGAACTCAGAAATAACATAATGGATTCAATCAAGAAACAGAAGGGTGTTCTGTAGATGTTAATTTGAATAAATTTTTTAAGTTGCATGAGAAATAAACAGGTTGAGCACATTTGAAGGAAAGTGAAAACCGTCTTTATTTAGAGCATGTGTACCTATGTATACAATGGACAGTTGCCTGTATTGTATCAGTGAATAGCCAATCTGCTTTCTGTCTCTCAAGATGAATCTCTGCCAAATGTAATATAAACCAAGTGGAACTTGACAAAACATTATGACCAAATACAACAGATAAACTTGCTTTCTTTGTCTAGTCAACAGCGTCACCTCATGATATTTGTACTCTCACAGCATTAATTTGCTGTTAAATTTAGTTAGTCAACAAAAGATATTACAGTGCCAATCCTTTTAACCTGGATTCTGTATGTTATTGGAATATCCTATTGGACAGAATAGATATTACTTGCTTTGGAGAATAAAGTAATTAGAACAAGATAATCTTAATGATTTTCTGGATTATATGTTGCTGCCATTACAGAAAAAAAACTAAATAACCACAGAAAAAATTCTATATCACTAAAGGAATTAAAAAACATGACATGCCTTCATATCACACATTTCCTCTTTTCTGTTTCAGACTTTTCCTCAAGGCAACAATTAAGATTTAACACCAATAACTTTTAAATTCATGACCAGGTCAAAAAGCATGTTACAACTTTTTAACAATGAATTACAACTTACTACATGAAATAACCCTTTAACAGCAATTGAAAAATATAATGCTTTATAATAATAAAAGGTAAATTCCATTTACGTATGATTTGAAATTCTTGAATACATGATTTAAAACACAGTACAGAATAATGGTAATAAAAAGAAAAACCATTTAAGTACATTTCAAAATTGAATCCTACTGCTGGATAAAGCAGTGATGAAACAAACCCTTGTTAGTATATAAATTAAATACTACATAAAAATTAAGCCTAAATGAAAAGCCTTTCACAACTCAATACTCCTTGATACGAAAATATAAAAAAGAAAAACCATTTAACATTGAAACACGTAGCACAGAATTACCTTTATCAATGAATGTAATAAAATAAGATTGTTTAAAATAGAATATGAAAACATCTTTCAACAATGAACATATTACTACCCTTTAAAGAAAAACAGGCAGTACACACTTACAAAGACAAAAGTAACCTTTAATGAAGATAAATAACTACCAAAATAATAAATAAAATAAGATTACCTATCTACTATCTAATAGACTTAACAGAAATTTAAAATAAAATATAACCCTTTATTGAATGAAATATGCAGAAAAATATAATCCTTTACATTAAACAAAACATTATCTGTCAAATAATAAAACAACTTCATGAGATACTTTGAAGTTTGATTTGGGCCCAGGCTAATTAACTTATTAATTTGTTACCTAAAAGGCTAACATTTAAATAGTTCTTTTTTTTTATTATTTGTAATGTTATATATTAAGTTAATCCCAAAACATCCTGTACTTTTTTGTGTCATCCACTTTTCTAGCCTTATCTCCTGAGTCAACACGACTTACCTCTCAGTATCTTGTGATGGAACAGATGCGTGGTCATTATAGCTTGGTCAATAGAGCTAAAGGTTAGATAATTCTTTTATTTATATTTGTACTGAAGATGTTAAGAGCAACAGCAGAGTGCGTATAGCTTTTACTAAATCAGAGCTGCCAAGTTGGACTGATAAAATTTCTGGAGATTTGTTGAGTGGAGCAAGTCTGAAACACTATCTGGAGGGTTTGCTATCTGTATTAGTCATGCCAGTATCAGATTCTGACCAAAAGTCCCAGTAACCAGTCAGTTTCTCTCAGAAATTTTCATTTCAGGCAATGGTAAATGCAGTCTTCTCTGGTAGCAGAGATACAAAGGGGCAGTACTCATGGTACTACTATGGGTGGTATATATCGATTGTAGTTCTCATGGATATAGAAAAGCCAGTTCATTGCTTGTATGGAGTCTGGGTGAAAAAAAAAAAGTTGATGAATAATTTCAAAATTCCAGGAGATTTTTAAAAACTTCTGGGGGAAGAGGTCAGTCCTAATTTCTGGAGACTCCCAAAAATTCTGAGACCTGGCAGGTCATCTAAATTGATTTATACAAAGCTTTAGGCTTCTAAAAACTAGTTCATTCATTTAGGACAGTAAGACTAAAGATAAGTTTAAGATACAGAAAACTCAGATACAATTCTAGTTAAGGCAGTGCTATTTTTACAATAGCTGAAATCTTCAAGGCATTTAAATGGAGATTGGATGAGTATTTTGAGGATTATGGTTGTGTATAGTAAAATGCAATTTTAAATGTCATTTGGTGTTGGCTGTTTATGGAAAACGGGATAACCCAGATTATTATCCCCTGTCCATGAGACTTTGCATATTTTTTTTTATACTGTATGGTTCAAACATTATAGTAGTAGTTTAAAAATCAAGTAGACAGAGATACATGAAATTGAAGATCACCATATGAAAGAAGAGTAATAGATGATATTATTGAAAGTTTAAAAGATTATCTGGAGGATCAATAGTAAACACTTCTGATTTCATTGTGCTGTATGCTGACGACTTTAGGATGAGAGGACCTAAGTTTGAAATTTGTTAAAGACAGGCTGGTCTACATTTATGACAGTTTTATTTTTCCTACAGGGTGATTAGCTTATGGAATGAGTTGTTGTCATTGATGATTTCCTAAAGGATGGGTTTAAATTTTTACTTAAGGGTGGATGTGCAAGGATAGCCATAAAGGACCAAATAATCCCCATTTTTTGTATCTTCTAAGATATAAAGCTAAGATTGTGTCTGTTTGTTCCCACCTTGCAGCCATCTGTTCCTTATACGTTTCCACATTTCTTGATCAATCAACACCAAACTTGACAAAGTGAAACAGGAAAACATGAGGAAGGTCATGAAGGGGGTGGGGTGAATCCCCCATCTAATTTCAGAAAAACTACCAAATCAGCACAACTTGACACAGTGATACAGCATGACATGTAGAGGGGGGGTTGGGGGGTTTGACCCCCATCTAATTTCATATTGATATAATTCTTGAAAACAGAATGTCTTTCTTTTCAGTATTGGTACCTTTATGTATTTTTATTGCACTTTTAACACTCTCAAGATTCTATTTAGATATTCTAAGAGTGCTGTGTGTGTGTGTGATTGAAATATCATTTTTGTAGGATAATAATAGCTATTTCTTAACTCCCACAAACAGCTTTCTCATAATGTAGACAAAGCTCTTAGTTTCTTTAATGGTACTATAAAAAAAAGCATGTAAGCAGTTTTTGATATATATATATATATATATCAAAGATAATAAATTTATTTCATAATCAGTAGTATAAATTTGTAGTATTGGTGTGATTTCTTAAAATGTTTTGTGAAAAAGCATGTTAATGTTTAATTTTGTACTTTATCCTATTAGTTATTTATGTTCTAATAAATAATTTAATAGCTTTAATACAGTGTTATTTTATATAATAGGAAGAATTAAAATTTACCATTTATCGTTTGTGAATTATTTAATTAATTAATGCATATCAATAATTTTAACCATAATAAATAAAGGAATTGTACATTTGGTATGTAAATATAATATATTAATTCCAAGAAAAGTCTGAAATTGCCTGTTTTTTGTTATTTTTTAGCATCTATCGACAATACTCCTCCG